CACACACACACACACACAGCAGCATATATAAGGAAAATAAAACAGGACCAAGAATGGATCCTTGTGGTACACCACTCAGTAGAGGGGGATAAACGATCAGTCAGAAAAGGAGGTTAAATAAATAAAGCGGTCAATAAAAGCAGGACCACAGGCTGGTTAGTATCTACAGACACAGATATCAAGAAAAAACAACTGAGAAATCTTTCTGAATTTATATAAAATTAAAGATGAGGCTTTTTAAGAAGAGGCCTCTCAATGGCCTGTTTGAAGGAAGCAGTTCAAAACAATAACCCATAGAGCAGCAGTAATGGTAGAAACCTCCTTTATTAGAGGGAGGGCAGACCAGAGGGCAGTTAGTTGGTCTCATGTGGTGAATTTCCTCCTTCAGATAACAGAAGTACTCAAAAACAACAGAAACAGCAAAAAGATGGAAAATATTCGATGGGCCGAAACTCGTCTTAGAGACGCCACATCCTCAATCAAATCTGTTTGGAAGAGGAAGAACTGAGCGGATCCAATGAAATAATGAATGATCGCGCTCTGAAATAAAAATCATTATAATTCTCTAAGAATGAGAACAGGGAGAAATCTCAGAGTAAATATGTGATAAAATGTCCTCAGTCCATTCAGCAAATTGGTGAAAACTCATTCTAATAAAACCTCCCTGGGATAAAGTGCTAATCAAAGACTTTCTAATGAAGCTTGTAACTTAGAGGAAGTTGGTCTGAATGCAGGATGTTATTTCAGTAAACAGTTGGGAAAATCTCCCTGAGAGGACATCGGAAAGTTCGCCCATGCGGTCGGAGCGAGTCTCAGCAGCACAGTAGCTGCTAACATCCAGACGGCCGCCCTAAAAGAAAGTATAGCTTTCATTCCAAAGACTTCTACAAATCCAGAAATAATAAACAGGATCAGGAGTAGAGATGGATCTGAAGGTGAACACAACCACTACACTGATTCACAGCTGGGAGAAAAACCACCTAAACAGCAGCAGCGACTAATCTTACATTTCATCATTAAACAGTTGATTTCACTCTGCAGGGTTCTGCACATCTATCTTCAGGATCTACCTCAGCGTTTCAGGCTGATTGAGCTCTGGACTCTGAAGGGGTCATTGCTGCAGCCTCAACTTTTTCTGTTTAAGCTCTTTTGTTGCCAACTGGATGTTTAGAATTTTTATCATCATGAGAGTCAAATTCTGCCAAAAGGTCTCAGTTTTTTTCTCCAAAATAAAGAGTTCTGATGAAGATGAAAATGAAAAAGAGAGATCATATCTCTCCTATCCTGGCTTCTCTTCATTGGCTTCCTGTTAAATCCAGAATAGAATTTAAAATCCTCCTTCTCACATATAAAGCCTTAAATGGCCAAGCTCCATCTGATATCAGAGATCTGATTGTTCCTGATGTTCCTAACAGAGCACTTCGCTCTCAATCTGCAGGTTTACTAGTGGTTCCTAGAATTTCTAAAAGTAGAATGGGAGGCAGATCTTTTAGTTCTCAGGCTCCTCTCCTGTGGAACCAACTACCAGTTTTAGTCCGTGAGGCAGACACCCTGTCTACTTTTAAGGCTAGGCTTAAAACTTTCCTTTTTGATAAAGCTTCTAGTTAGAGTGGCTCAGGTTATCCTGATCTATCTCTATAGTTCTGCTGCTATAGGCTTAGACTGCTGGAGGACATAGGGACCCCTTTTTCATCATTCTGCTTCATTCTATCTCTATTCTCCCACTCTGCAGAATCTGTTAGTTCAATCTCTAACGTTCTGCTCTCTCTGCTTTTTCTCATAGTAGCTTCATCTGGTCTGTTCCTGTTTGGCTGTGACTCCATCCTGGAGAGAAATATCAGCTGTGCTGCTGCCATCAACACCTTTGTTTCTAGATGTTGGAGCTTGGCCTGTTTTCCAGTGTAGTCCTGTTTCTCTGACTGTGACTAACTGGATGTGCTCTCTTCATCCTCTGACATGGGAGCTGACTTTAGACCTGGTTTACTCTAACATCAAAGATGCATTCAGATCAGCTCCCTCAGAGCAGCTCATCTTTCTGTCATGCTAATCCCTGCATACAGGCCCCAGCTAATCAGGGCTAAACCAACAGTGCAGCAGGTCAGAGTGTGGTCCGAGGGGGCCATGGAGAAACTCCAGGACTGTTCTGAATGCTCTAAGTGGAACATGTTCAAAGCTGCAGCTACATATGACAACAAGATAAACATAAATGAGTATGTCATGACCGTGTCAGCCTACATCAACAAATGCATCTCATAGAACATCAGCGCCTGGGCCAACCAACGGCCCTGGGTGAATGGAGAGGTTCGGAAATCGCTAAAAGTACCGAACTCAGCTCAGATCAGCGAAGCAGAACCACAGCCAGAAGATCCAGGATCTCACCCATGATGACAGCAACACCAGGAGGATGTGCAAACGGGTGATCAGCGGCCAACCGTAAAACTCAACAACATCAAAGCGAATCGCACGCTCCACCAAAGCTTGGTTTCAGAGAAAGTCCTGGAAAATAGGAGAGTGGCTATCATTGTTCCCAGACTTAAACTCTGGAAATCAGTTAAATAATCATCTTTGTTGTCAAGGCAACTGTTTCCCTGAAATGTGTCCTCTTAGAAGAGGGTTGTCACCGTGCAAAGCCCCAGTAGCATCCTGGTGCTAAGGGTGCTGTTCAGGGACCTTGAGAGGCATTCTGTGGGAATCAAACCAGGAACCTTTCCCAGGACGCCATGCCCTGGCTGTGACCAGCAGGGAACCACTCGCTCCAAAAAACATCCTGGAAATGAAATCTAAAGCAGCTTTTTATCTGACAATCCGCTGCTGGAACCAGTTTAGATGAACTATTCAAACTTTGTTTTTTAGACATTTCCTACAAATAGCCTCCAGTTTGTTCATTTTGCCAGTAAAGCTTATCTGCAGCGGACGTTGAATAATCGTAGCTGTGGATGCAGATGTCTGCAGAGGGAAACTGGCAGCTTGTTGCCGTCTGGTGCATCGGCAACGTGTCAACAGCAACACCACTAAAGCCATATGAGAGGGAGGCTATGATGTGGCTGGAACCACTCAACACCACATACTTCAAAAGCCCTTATGGTGTTGGCCACTTAATCTGGCGCATCCGCGCCTGTTTGTTCCATAGTTTGTTTTGGGTGGAGGATCGAACAACCTTAGGGTTTTACGGTTTGGAGAAATCATTTAGTGTTTGTCTGATCTTCTGCCTCGCTTGCTGCGACATGTAAGCAGGAATTTGCCTTTGGTGATGGTGAAGGAGCAACTTGTCTGACATACCCCTACTGATGCAGTAACTGGTCTGATTACTTCCAACCATGTAATGAAGACAATATCTGCAGCAAAGTGCATGAAGTGTATTTATGGCCACAGTAAACTGATTTTTCAATCAAACCGCTAAAAATGAAAAACACAACAGTAGAAAATCAACAGCAAAACTCAAATAGTTCCAAATGTCTTGTAAGGAAAACAAAGAAGCAGACGGCTCCTAACATCTACTGACCTTTGCATGTCCGCTCGTCAGTGAGAAGCTTGTATCCTTTCTGGCAGCTGCACTCAAACGAACCCACCGTGTTTCTGCAGGAATGATCGCAGCCTCCATTGTTCTCCTCGCATTCATCGATATCTGCATTCAGTGAAACAGACAGTCAGTTAATAACATTACAGAAAATACCTGTTCAAGTTTTACACTTAAAAAAATGAATGTATGGAATTACTTTTTAAAGAAAATTTAAGCAGATGGGACTGGAAAAAATAATCTGAACATGTGGAGGCTTTTATTTTTCCTTTACTGTTAGAAGAAAAAAACAAAACAAAGCACATTAAAAAATGAAATCCATGAATAATATTTAAAAAAAAGCTTTAATAAAAAAAAAAGTCTTGAAGGTACCTTTGCTTTTTCCAGATTTTTTTTTTTATATATGAATATTTTTCATTTTCTTGTTTTATTCTTTTAATAGTATTTTTTCAGAAAATGTGCATAATTTATTATTTTCATATTTAAAAAAAATTTTCATCAGGCTAACTTTTACTAATTGCGCTCCTTTTGAACTGCATTTTCCAGATCACATTTTCTTCACCTCTGAGGGCGGGGCTTCCTCTGGACTGAGGACAGAACATGCATTTCTATTGGTCTGCTGGATGTTAACTGTTTGAAGTTTGGAAACTATATAATTCATTATACTCGACATCAAAAAAGGAATAATAAAAAAAAGAAAATATAAAATCTGTGAAAAAAAAATGTTATAAAGAAATCTCTAAAAAAAAATTAACTCAGAAAAAAAAGAAATGAAAGCTGAGAAAAGGTACTAACAAAACCTTTTTTTTATTAAAACCTTTTTTAATTTACATTTATGGAATCCATTGCTTCTAAATTTCAATTTACAAAATGCATTTTTTCACAATTATTGACGAAGCATAATGGAACAAAGTTCACTCCATACGACGTCTTTAGCCTTCCTAAACAATTCCTTCCCTTCATTTTTAGGTCTGCTTGTGTGTCATTTAATCCAAGATAAATTCAGTCATATAAATAAGTAATAAATGAATAAAAGTGAATCATTACACTAGAAACAACCTGGTGAAAGCGTGAAATCCAGACTAAGCTTAGACGTATGAGCTCCTGCCCAAGAGTGCAGCAGCAAATCCAAGTCAGAGAGTCTGAAACATGAATAGTGATAGAAATGGGAGTGCAGGAACCCCTGAGGAACTGTTTTTATTGGCAACCACAGACCTCATGGCTGATCTGGTTTCACCAAGCCTCCAAAATTCTTTCTTTGCCTCATCAAGTTTATCGTATCCTCAGGAGAACTTTCACGGCTTTATAAACTAATACCTCATCTATTTGGATCATAAAAGCTTCAATATTTACGTCTGTGAAAACTATGTGCAAAAGATAAAGATGTTAAGATCCAGAAGATGAGCAAAGAGCAGGTAAATAAGAAACCCAAAGAAAAGGAGGGACAGCAGCAAAGCAGGGAGCAGACTATAGTCTGAGATTAAACAGCCTAAGCTCTTTTTGATTGGCGCTTCAAGTGATGGAAACAGCAAGATGCCAGAAAGAGAAGAGAACAGAGAGTGTGCAAGAAAAGAGAGAGAGAACAGAGGAGGGAAAAACACTGAAACGCTTCAGAGGACAAGCTGGGCGTCTAAAGAGGAGGAATCAGCGAGGCCACAGCTGAGGATCAGGGAGAAGATGACTCCTTCTAACTCACACCTTAGTTTCATCATCACAGGAGTTTGATTCATGTTCCAGGACACAAACCAAAGAGTCCATGTGAACACAGAGGGCGGGGCTAAGGAACCGCTTTAGGCCAACTCTTCATCCATCTAAGCGGTGGTGTCCTTGGGCGGGACCCTTGGCATGCCTTGCCTGCTCTCGGTGGTCGATCGGTTCTCTGCCAACGTCATGCATGAGCATCAGGTCTCTGCTGTGGAAAGGGGGAGCGCTCCGGGGGCAGCCAAGGGGAAGAACGGCATCTTCCCACTGATCAAGGTCTGCCCACAAAAACCAAACCTCCTCTGCCTCTATTTCACTTCCACAACACCGAAGCCTTGCATCCTTCAGAAAGGATTCCAGTTACTGATCTGTGATGGAGTTTAATTCTTCATGCATTAAACTGAACCAGACTGGTGGAGCTTAAAGAGCTTAAAGATATATAATCATTTTTTTATTTATTTATGAACCAGTAACTCGCTTTGGTTATTAACAAAATGTTTAGACAAATAACAGCATCCTGCGTCCTTTCAGTTTATATTTAACATTTTAATGTCATGGGACCAGGATTACGTTGGTGTGCCTGCGTAATATTGGTCATTAGGCCAAAGCCTAAAGGTCAAAGGTCAGTCTGGAAGTCCAGGAGTAGTTTCAGACGGAAATATTCACAGACTATTATATTAAACTGAACTTCCAGTATTCACCACTGGTCGGCGCCAAGTAACCTTTCCTCTGATCACGGCTTGCTTGGTCTCGCAATGCATCCTGGGTAAACCAAGGATAGCGAGGATACACCGGACCCGTCCTTCAAATCAGGCTAAAAAAAGGACGCATTTTAAGGCCGCATAACGAGGAGCCTTGGAATCCGACCACACCTCAGCGCCACGCTATGATGTCATCGGCCTTCGAATCTGGCCTTCTGAGGACGCGTCCCATGAATTCGAACATGGCTTCTAAGTCTGGTCTATTGGATCTTTAGTGGACTCTGAGTAACGTTTGTGTGGATTTGTAGCAGCGATGTTTAGCTTTGTCAGCTGGAAGCTCATCTGTTTAATAAAGAAAATGTGTTTCATGTCTAACCTGGAGTTCAGCGTGTTCCAAAGGAGTCCTAAGCATCTTCCTGTTTTCGTTAGTTCAGGATAGCAGCTGTTATTTTAGCTGCAGGATAAAACCAGGTTCAACTTTAAGTCCACAGTGTTTCATTCATAAAATATGTTAAGGAACATAAAATGTATGTGACTGAACCTTTAAGGAAATAAGACAAAAAAACTTCAGCTTGGTATAAAGGAATGAACATTTTAAAGGAACACCTAAATTATAAAAAATGAAAATAAAAGCGTGATTCCACAATGTTTGTTTCTATGTTGTTTTCACTGCTGTGCTTCTGTAAAACCAGTGAAAACAACTGTGGGCGAAACCAAGACAGACAAACACAGCTTCTTAATTACTTCTGTAGCTGCAAATCCTGGCAGCATCACAGCATCTGCCCACATTTAATGGCCACTGCGGGGGTGGCTATGGGGAGATAATTACCCTTAATGAAGCTAAAAGATTCTTTGAGCCTAAGTAAATACATCAAGCTAGAGAACGTCTTGAACTGATAAAGTCTGCAACAAGGCAAGGAAGACGGATAAAAACCAGGCCTCCCAGAGTTTCAATGGCAGCATGATGTGAACGGCCTGAGCAACATGGCCGTCAGCTTCACACACTGCATTTGATCTGGATCTCTCATATAATTTAGAGGAAAACAGTTTTTGGTTTTGAAGACTGTTTCCTAGAAGATTTCAGCTTCAGAAAGGAGGCATCAGACGAAGGGATGAAATCATCATCATCATCATCATCATCCTCATCATCATCATCATCATCATCATCATCATTCTGACTCCATGCAAACTTTGATCACAAGTTTCTCTTTGTTCCTGCTGTCGGTTGAACCTTTTAAAGTCTACAGACTTCTAATAATCTGGAGCTCTATGCTGGGAAGTATTAGTATGTTTGTTCAGGTAATGTCAGCAGTGTGTATTTGGACACCAGGATAATGTCTATCAGTGTGTCTGTCAGGATATCTGCGTTAAAGTCAAATAATGCAAAAATAACGAGCTCATTAAAATCTTTTTCTAACTAAGAAGCATCTGGAGGACTTTAGGCTGTGAAGATTTTTAATGAGGATGTTCCTAATTAAAATTAAACATCACTGCATGGACGGGTTACTGAATAGAACAACAAAAACAGGTTTATGGAAAAATGTTCTTTCAAAATCCAACTTCTCTGAATATGAACTACAATGAAAACATGAATGCTGAAGAATTAGGATTATAAAAAAAAAAAAACAGATCCCCTACCCACCCACCCCCTTCAGCTGATCCAAAATGCTGCAGCCAGAGTTCTGATGAAAATGAAAAAGAGAGATCATATCTCTCCTATCCTGGCTTCTCTTCATTGGCTTCCTGTTAAATCCAGAATAGAATTTAAAATCCTCC